CCACACGCGCCCACACGCGCCCACACGCACCCGCACACGCATACGCTCGCACGCACGCACGCACGCACGCACGCACGCACGCACACAGAGAGAGGGAGAGAGAGAAAGAGAAAGTTTAAGAATGTGCGTTAGTGCTTGATAATAAAACGAAAATTACATGATTAGTTATAGTGATCTTTAGTGATCACATCTTGTTGCTCATGAAGAGAATAGTTCTACTAAAAAGATAATTGTCGTAGTCAGAATGAAGGCTGTACATTTACTCAAAAGTGCCTCAAATACCCTTGCGATCTACATTTCTAAAATGTTGTGAGAGAGAGAGAGAGAGAGAGAAAGAGGTGTCTGCTTGCTGTCTACACAGAACGAAGGATTTGCTATATTTTACCTACTCGCAAGAACCTTTGGTGAAAAACGGAAATTCCCTTCGCCATACGCTCGATCCTGGATTCGAAACGTGAGCCTCGGATGTACGTGCTATGCCTACGTACGGGTGAACGTAAATGCCATCAATTTAACGCTAGAGTAGTGTTAGCAATCAACGAGCTCGATGTTTCTCAGGTTGCTATGTTCTCTCCTCTCTCACTCTCTCACTCTCTCACTCTCTCACTCTCTCTCTCTCTCACTCTCTCTCTCTCTTCCTCTCACTCTCACTCTCTCTCTCTCCGCACCGACAGGTACCACTGGCTCGCGCAGTGCATCCACTACTTCATCATCCTGCTCATCATGATCGTCCTGTACGGCCGCATCTTCCACGTCGCACTCCGGCAGCAGAAGCTGATGGCCGAGTCGGAGCGGCGCGCGTCGACGCTCTCCCTCGAGGCGGCGCACATCCAGCAAGCGATGCGGACGGTTCGCGTCTTCCTGCTCGTCTTCGGCGCGCTCATCGTCTGCCTGACGCCGTTCTACGTCGTCTACACGTACCTGGCGATGCACGGCCTGACGAGCACGGACGCGCGCTACCTCACGTGGACGGGCTTCGCCGACATTCTCGTGTTCGCGAACAGCACGGTGAATCCGTTCATCTACGCGTGGAAGTTCAAGGACTTCCGGCTGGCGCTGCGCCGCATGTTCCGCGTGCGCCACAAGCTGAACACGGCGTATAGATGGCACTACAATCTGGCACTGACGCATATAGGTGGCGCTACAGTCTAGCGCAGCCGCGTATAGGTGCAGTTACAATCTGGCGCTGAAGCGTATAGGTGGCGCTACAGTCTGGCGCAGCCGCGTATAGGTGGCGCTACAGCGACGTCGCATACATGGACGTGAACTCCTCCGCTGCATCAGACTGTAGCGCCACCTACACGCGGCTGCACCAGACTGTAGCGCCACCTACACGCGTCAGCGCCAGGTACCACATTACTGTAGCGCCACCTACACGTAGTTGCGCCGGGTACAATGTTGCTGTAGCGCCACCTATACGCATCAGCGCCAAGTACCGCATCACTGTAGCGCCACCTATACGCAGCTGCGCCACGATATGATATCACTGTGGCGCCACCTACACGGGTGGTCTGGCCAGAACATGTATGACATTGGACATGGTATAGTGCCTGAGTGAGTGCGAGTCACATGCCACTGTTTTACAAAATCTCTCCACAAGTTAGAATCAGCACCGCTGCCGCTGATAACAAAGACAATACTTGTGACTTATGACGGCAACGATAACGACTACACCGGTAAAGCCTAGCGCAGACCTGCGATTTTTGGTTGCTCGTTGCTGCAACCTGCAAGCGATCGCTCGATGTGTCAGCGCGTGTGCGCACACATGCGATTTCGAAGCGATTCTAGAGCAATTTGGGAGCGATTGGGAGCGACGAGTCGCTCAAAATAAAAGCAGTTTGATTTCTTGCAACTCGTCGCAAGCGACCAGAAGTGCTACGGGTTGCAGTTGCACGTTCCCGGCAGAAGTAGCGATTTCGCAGCAATTTTTACAGCGATTCTAGGAACGCTGTCGAGTTGCATGAAAAAGTCGCAGGTCTGCGCTAGGCTTAATGGTAACATACTATAATATTATGACAAGCGACCTGCGATGCCGCTGTAATACAGGACCTTGGGTTGTCTCCTGAGAGAGCCAGCTAAGTTTTGAGACGAATGACTGGCAAGTTAGACAGCAAGCTGAGTACTGATCATGAGACAGCTGGCTCAGAACTGAGACAGCCAGCTAAGCACTGAGACAGCTGGCTCAGAACTAAGACAGCCATCAATGCACTGATACAGCTGGCTAGGAACTGAGACAGCTAACTATGTACTGAGACAGCTGGCTGAGAATTGATACAGCCATCAATGTACTAATACAGCCGGCTAGGAACTGAGACAGTTATTTACTGAGACATTCAGAGCAGAACAGACACCTAACTGCAGAAACAGCTAACTCACACGTGCACTGAGACATCACGACATCACGAGATCAGCTGATAAACATGACATCCGAAGAAAAAATCAACCGAGATGTATCAACTTCATCAAACTAGTGCGACTAGACTTACATTTCGGCTGCACCTGATGGACAGTGAATGCCTAACAGATGAAGATGTGCACAATCTATAAGCAGTAGCGTTTTACTTAACGGCTTACAGCACGGCAATGTCAAGGTCAACGAAGCCCGACCTTGAGGTCATCACCGGTCATCCTCGACTGCAACAGTTCGACCTTGACATACACAGCTAGGGATTTTCACTTGTATATATTTATCGCTTGTATATATCTTGCGCATTGTTAATGCCGGCACGGTTGCCGTGGCAACTGCTGCGATATTGTGGCTTTTAGCTTTTCTTATACCTTGTATTATAGGCACGCGTCCTCGCTGTATCTACTGCCAACACTTACTCGTTATTATTATTATCATATTAAATCCTTCTTCTCCCAGAATTCAGACGTTTGATGTGCATAAGTAGCGATCGCCTCGTTATTTCACACAGAGCAAAAACTATGCAGAAGCAAAGCTAATGAGGTCTGCTCTCGCTCTCTCTGTTTCACTCTTTCTCTCTCTCTCTCTCTCTCTCTCTCTCTCTCTTTCACTCTTTCACTCTTTCACTCTTTCTCTCTCTCTC